GGGGGGGGGGGGGGGGGGGATCGTCTTTAGATAGGACTTAAAATAGTGAATAAACCGATAAAATTTCGTGGTCTCCACAAAGCCAAGGGGAGAGAAAAACGTTTTTATACAGTTTCGCCTCGGTTGGCACTTTTTTTTCTAATTATTGAAAAAGGGGGGGGGGGCGCACGTTTCCAAGCGCCAATTTTCCTCGGTACTGCTCCGAGTGTGTGTTCGTCTTCCTTCATATGTGGATGGCCCCCATGACGGACACGCCCATTTCGCTGAGGCACATTAGTAGCATTGATTTAACGTCAACCGTTTTGTTACACATTTCAACCGCACTACCAAAGGCGGCACTACCAAAGGCGGCACTCACAAAGCGCAGCAGTTGTTTTTTTAACTATACATAACACTTTGGGGGGGGGGGGTACCGCCCTTCATTAATTTTAAGTCATGTGAGTGTCATCCCTTTATCCCCTCCCTCCCTCCCCCCACCCCGGTAGCTGTACACACTGTCTCGTTTAATAAACGCACAGTTGATCAAAGCAGCCGTCCAGTGGTCAAGCTGACTTCTCCACCCTACAAAATGCGGGGCAGTGCGGGGGCTGAATAATAGCTTCTTTTTTTTTCCTCCGACCCACTTTACCTCCCACCCTCTCCCCGGGGGAACGTTCTTTCAAAAAGTAGCGTCCAATGGAAAGCTATTAACAGCCGGCCAGGTCAAGTCCCAGGTGATCTCACTCACGTTGATAACTGCCATGGGCTATAGTGCTACATAGCCCTACTCACTTAACGTTTAGAGATAACCTTTTCAGAATTTTATAATTTCATAATGTTATAGGTTCACAATGTTATAGCTTTTTTAGCAACATTTTAAGAATTTTTTTCAATTATTATTATCATTAGTAGTATTTACTTTTTTTTTTTTTTTTTTTTTTTTTTAAAAAAAATACCTTAATGGTTGATGATGCCCCAGATTAAATTTCTTACTCTGTAAACCAGAATCAAGGGAAAGTTCACGTCATCTCTTACGTCAACGCCTTAACTTTTTTTTATCTAACATTAATGTGTAGCATACTAAGATTCTAGTTAGAAAACAATCGGTTATTGAACAACCATTTCTCACATTATTACATAGAACCGCGTCTGTATTTGGTGTGCAATCATTTCTTATATTAGTACATTATAGAACCACATCTGAAGTTGATGTGCAATCATTTCTTACATTAGTACATTATAGAACCACATCTGTAGTTGATATGCAATCATTTCTTATATTAGTACATTATAGAACCACATCTGTAGTTGATATGTCAAGATATTTAGATAAGATAAGACAAGGATGAATATCAGCCTTGCCTCCCAATTGCGTAGGTACTGCATTCACTGATTTAGAGCCACTACACCCTTTGCTCCAGTAGAGAAAGGTGGGCAGTTTCCTTGTCCGAATGTGTGTGTGTGCGAGTGAATGGGTGTTAGTCAGTGAAGCACGGTATTGTGTGAAGGCGATGATTCAGCTGGCGATGAGGAGTGTGAGGGGCTGGTGGGGAAGGGGGGGGGGGGG